GCTCTATACAATCAGATCTCCACGTTTTTTGGCCCTGAATTTCCCCTGAACTGGTCAAATGATCCCTCAGTCGAGCCGGTGTTCGCATGCCTGTTTGAGTATTAGAGAACCCATCTCTGGGGTTCAGAAGGAGTCGAGGCTCTTAGCCTAATAGTGCTGACTTTTGAGTCCTGACTGTAGAGGGGCATCTGCGATTCTTACTCTGTACTATGTATGCACTCTGTAAATAGATACCTCGTCGATCACGGTTCCTACTGACTACTGTTCCAACCTCCCGCTCCCGCCCTGAGAATCATTTCCCAGAAGAGCTGTCTCCTCCTTTCCTCGCCTGTGCTTGACGCTCTCAAGCTCGCTCGGATCTCGAGAAATCAGAGTTTTATGATTCCCAATTTCATATGCAGCTTATTGAAGTTACAGTACTGGCTCCTTGCAGAGCCACGTAGTATTCCTACAGTCAAGATACTTTCATCCTGCCTCGGATTTTCGTGGTGCATGTTGCAGAGTTTCAATAGACCGAAGTCTCACCTCGCACAAGCCTCGACTTGTTCGAGTCTTCTCCCACATTACACATACTCTGGTCGTCATACAGGACCTGCTGGAGGGGAAGACGATTGAATTCGTTCATTCTATCTCGATATGTTCGTACACGTAGGCCTCGAAAACACATCATAAATGCCCAACTCATCCAGTCATCCCAGCTTTGCACACAGATCCAATCAGACGGTTCATTGCCCCTCATGGATGGTGAATGGGCGCGGGACATATCAGCATCGCCCGGGAAAAGCCAGCCAGAAGCCGTCCCTTCCACGAGAACTGAAAAAGCCGTAAACGCCATCTCTTCATCTTGGATTTAGTTGTGTGATGAAGAGAAAAGAGGGAAAAGAAGAGGAGAAAGCTGCGAGAATGCCGGCGGAGATAAAAAAAACAATGCCGTAAGCGAGTGCTCGGAGTGGAACATCCTCTTCCGCCTTATCAGCCAATCGGGGTGCGGCATCCCAGAACGGATTAGCGGCTAACAGCTTTCCGCGGGCAACGGAGTCGCCCGTATCAAGAACACCGTTGTCCGATGGATCAAGAGATAACCATCGGCTGTGCCATTGTTATATCACCCGTTCTTCTTGCATTATTTTCTTTCGTTGACTCTTCCCTTCTCACTGTCTGCAATCCATAGCGACGTTAGGCTGAATCTCTGCCCAACAATGTCTCTGAGTCGTTGCGGACGACAGGCCTCGCGCCTCATCCCGCGATCTGGAAGCTCCCCCAGAGCTATCACTGCTATCACCACCGCCCGCCGTCCGGGCTTCCAGCTTCAGACTCCCACTGCTGCATCCAGGAATCTGCAATGGCGGAGCGTATCCTCATCCAGCCGTGATGGCCAGCAACATGTGCGCTCTATCTCATTGACTTGTTCCTAGGACAATGTGCTGATGTCATTCGTACAGTTGCTCTCCGCATCCCTAGAGGAGGAAGACCCGACTGTCTACAACATTCTGCAAAAGGTGCACTGACCTTGCCCGGGCGTCAATTGAACATATTCACTCATACTGGTGCAGGAGAAAAAACGCCAAAAGCATTTCATCAACCTCATCCCCTCCGAGAACTTTACGTCACAAGCCGTTCTCGATGCGCTGGGAAGTGTGATGCAAAGTCAGTCCGCTGCTGTCGGTTCTACAAGGGTGAAACTAACTGGCCCCAGACAAATATTCTGAAGGATACCCCGGTGCGAGATACTATGGAGGAAACGAGTTCATCGACGAGTCCGAGAGACTGTGCCAGCAGCGTGCCCTCGAGACCTTTAGACTCCACCCCGAGGAATGGGGTGTCAACGTACAGCGTAAGTTTCTAGTAAAATACTTAGATGTAACGAACTAACTCCTACAGCTCTCTCCGGATCTCCGGCTAACCTTTATGCCATCTCCGCCGTCCTCAACACGCACGACCGTCTGATGGGCCTGGATCTGCCCCATGGTGGTCACCTGTCGCACGGTTACCAAACTCCAACCAAGAAGATTTCTTTCATTTCCAAATACTTCGAGACTCTGCCTTACCGCCTGGATGAATCCACTGGCCTCATTGACTACGACGGGGCGGAGAAGCTGGCTCTGCTCTACCGACCCAAGCTCATCATCGCCGGCACTTCGGCCTACAGCCGGCTTATCGATTACCCCCGCATGCGCCAGATCGCTGACGCCGCTGGTGCATACCTCTTGAGCGATATGGCTCACATCTCGGGCTTAGTAGCCGCCGGTGTGCTGCCCTCGCCTTTCCCTCACTCCGACATTGTGACAACCACAACCCACAAGTCCCTGCGCGGTCCTCGCGGTGCCATGATCTTCTACCGCAAGGGCGTCCGCCGGACGGACAAGAAGGGCAACAAGGAGATGTACGATCTCGAGAACCTCATCAACGCGTCTGTTTTCCCTGGTCACCAGGGTGGTCCTCACAACCACACCATCACTGCTCTGTCCGTCGCCTTGAAGCAGGCTCAATCGCCTGAATTCAAGGCCTACCAGGAGACCGTTTTGGCCAATGCCAAGGCGCTGTCGGAAAGACTGGGTGGCCCAATCAACAATGGCGGTCTCGGCTACAACATCGTGTCGGGCGGCACGGACAACCACCTGGTCCTTGTCGACCTGAAGAATCGCGGAGTCGACGGTGCCCGTGTTGAGCGCGTCCTCGAGCTCTGCGGCGTGGCTAGCAACAAGAACACCGTCCCTGGCGACCAGTCCGCCCTGAAGCCCGGCGGTCTGCGGCTGGGAACTCCTGCCATGACCACTCGTGGCTTCCAGCCTGAGGACTTCCGTCGTGTCGCCGACATTGTGGACCGGGCCGTGATCATCACCCAGAAACTGGACAAGGCTGCCAAGGAGAGTGCTGCGGCCAAGGGAGTCAAGAACCCCAACACAGTCAAGGCCTTCCTCGACTACGTTGGTGAGGGCGAGGAGATCCCCGAGATCGTGCTGCTGAGAAAGGAGGTGGAAGACTGGGTGGGCACCTTCAGCCTTCCTTGGGATGAATAAAAGTATACCTTGCTGCAATTTAATGAGATGATATTTTGAGATGCTTCTTTTGGCGGGTTAGCTGTTCAACATGACCAAGATGTCTGCTTATGATGCATGCATGTATGTATATAAAATTCAACACAAACTCAATCTATGACCAGAATAGTTTTATTCCTCCTTCTCTATAATGTTGCTGTACTGGCGGTATGATTATCTATGGAGTAAGGTTGCATGTGTCGATTTGGCTGCGCCCTGTCAACAACATTCCTGTCATCCCCGCATCCGATAGGCCGGCATAACGTCTCCGCATTAAGTTGGAGAATGCGGGAGAGGCTGTTTATTTGTATCTCAACCACCAAGTCATTTCATTTCGTATATCCAGTGCAGAGTGTTTTCCAACTCTCAGAGATAGACAACGTTGGCATTGCCGATACTGACTTAACCTTGTTCAACCGAATAAAAAACTACAAGAGCAGACATGCACATCAGCCAGGTAGGCGTACTTCACCCCTTGCAAAGAAAAGCAAACTTATATCTCAAACTTAGCTCTACACATACCCCATCAAATCCCTCCGCGGTGTCCCCTTATCCGAAGCAACCCTTACCCGGACAGGATTCCAATATGACCGGCGCTTCATGCTTCTCAAGGTCATCCCCGGCCAGAATGGCGCATACACCCTCAAGAACATGCACGTCCCCCATTTCCCCGAAATGGCTCTCTTTACGACGGATATCATCTACGCAGATAAAGAGAAAGACGTACCAGGCCGGATTATCGTGACGTACCATCCACCAGCGGACAGTCATCTCAATGACAACTCCACGAAAACGCTAGAGATCCCCTTACAACCAGAAATACGAGGTCTACGACAATTAAGCATCGAGATGCACCAGAGCCCAACGACAGGGTACGACATGGGCGATCCGTACAACGAGTGGTTCAGCGAGCGGTTCGGGTACGGCGTGGTACTAGCTTACCTGGGCCCGCATTCGCGGCGGGTCCTGGGGAGTTTCGCGCCGGGGAAGAGCCCCGCTCACGCGGTTGACAAGCCGGTGGTTTCAACACGCTCGCTAGTTGGGCTGGCGGTGTTGACGCTCCTGCTGAATGGTGTGCGTGTTTCGGCTGGCGCCTCGACTTCAGGGCCGATGCAGTCGGCAACGGAGGAGATGCTGAGGCATTGGCCGGGCGTTGCTGCGACGGTTGTCGCGGGGTTGCTGTCCTGGGTATTAATGCGGTGTTTATCGACAGCCAAAGAGGACGAGTCGATTACGTTCGCGGATACGGCGCCGTACCTGCTTACGTCTGAGACGTCGCTGGATGAGCTGTCTGCGCGCTTCGCGGGAGACGAGTGCATGGACATGACCAAGTTTCGGCCGAATATTGTTGTTTCGGGGGCGGCGACGGCCTTTGAGGAGGACTTTTGGGCTGAGTTGAGGGTTGGACGGGGGGCCAGTGCGGCGAGATTGCTGCTTACGGCGAATTGTGTGCGGTGTCAGAGCATTAATGTTGACTATGCGACTGGGAAGATGGGGACAGGTGAGACGGGGAGTGCTCTGAAGAAGTTGATGAAGGATCGTAGGGTGGACAAGGGGGCTAAGTATAGTCCTGTCTTTGGGCGATATGTCTTCCTGGATCCTCAGGCGGATAAGGTGATGATTCGAGTGGGAGATGAGGTGGACGTCCTGAGGACGATGAAAGAGAGGACTATTTACGGTCAGTCACCTACTCCTTGATCCACGTTTAGAGCTGACAGGTTTTCCTCTAGATTGGCCGGGTTTGTCCAATTGAACAAAGCGTCGGAAGAGTTTGGTCCAACTGTCTGTGTCATGGTCGCTTGATATTTTCATAAGAATCTACGTCCTTCAATTACCTTGACTCATGAACATAAAGGCCCCACCCCTGAAAATAGTTCCTCGCACAGGATGGTCTTAGACTAGGTTTGCAGGACGAGTTCAATAGGCCAGTGCTGCGCAAGGTGATACTGACAGGTATGGTTGCTATCTTCGACCGGTGAGTTTCTTTGCAAACACGCCTTTCTTGTCCGTCGGCTGCCACCAGTCTTCGATATCACTCATACAGATCAGGAGCAGCTGGGCCTGATCGATAAATCTCTGACATGACTGGATGTTATGCATCTGGCCACAGAGCTTGTCCAATCCGTCATACAGCGCCTCGAATCTTCTGCGCAAGTGCTCCAATCGATTCAGATCCCCACCCAGCCCGGTACATCCACTGCCAGTGCTGCTCTCCCCGTCCTCCTGCGACGGCCAGCGCGCATAGTAAACTTGCCAGAGATCATGCTTCACCCGCCTGGCATAATCCCGATATCCAACACGCACTGCACGGTCCAGCCGTGTGTGCGAGGCGTTCTTCTGGTTTGAGACTTGCGCTTGCTCCTTACCCTTACGCTTCTTCTTCCGCCAGCCGGAGATGTACTTCTGAGGAAGCGCCCATCTCGACCTCTCCTGCTTCAGAGCAGGGATGACGTCGATTTCCTCCGACGCATTGAGCTTGCATTTCCAGAGCTCGTTTAGCACAGCTGGCGAGACATACGACCGGATGGCCGTAGTTTCTTCTCCGAAGGTGCTGAGGATCTTTGCGAAGAAGTTCGCCGCTTCGTACAGTGTATCGACTAACCGGCTGGAGGCGGGCCGGAAGGGGATGCAAGATTCCACTGGGGCTACAACAGGCGTGGGAGACCTGTAAACGAGATGGAATCCACTTGCTTGGAGTTCCGGGTCTGGTTCTCGATGGGAGCACAGCGACTCATGGCTTTGGGTGTGCGGGTTGTTGGGCATGAGACAGCGCGGGTGCGATTGCATGTTGGCGGTTATGCAGATTCTAGAGATATAGATAGAATGATACAAATACAGCTTACTATCGCTTTGTCATGCATTATATATGTACAGCGAGTTGATGCCATCCAATGACGCCAAGACCAATGCACCTCGTCGTCATCAGTCATCAGCCTCATCATGCGAGACCTTCTGTAGAACAATCAATCATCAACAAAGCCCGCGTCTTTCACCTCGTCTCGCCTACAATCGCATTCTCTTTCAGCAAAATGACACACGAATTCCCCCCTGCCTCCCTGCGCCCTCTGATCAAAGAGGTGGCCGATCTCCTCAAATCCCGGGGGGAAACCATCTCCGTGGCCGAAACAGTATGCAGCCCTCCTCTTTCACCTTGTCTCAAGTACGAGACAATACATCTGATACATCTCATATCTGATACTGATACTGATACTGATACAGGCAGCCGGAGGCATCATCTCCGCATGTTTGCTTTCCCGCCCGGGAGCATCCTCAGTCTACAAGGGTGGAGTAACGGTACAAGCGCCCTCTCTTCTCTACCACCAGCAGCTAACAACCTAGCTCTACACCCTGGAATCCCGCATCGCCTTCGCAGGCTGGACTCAGTCGCATATCGACAGCTACGAAGGTCCCACGCCTGATATCGTCGCAGGACTCGCGCAGCACGTCCGCAACACCCTGCAGTCGACGTATACCGTTGCCGAGAGCGGGACGGCGGGGCCTACGGGTGGCGCGACGCGGAATCGGACTCCGTGAGTCTTCTTCCTTCTCTTCGTCTTTGCAATATCCCTTGAGATGGAGTGCACATGCTAATGTGTACGGATACTGGGTAGAGGGTACGTCGCGTTAGCGGTGTCCGCGCCTCAGGGGACGTTTACTCGCGAGGTGGAAACGCGGTGCGGGACTGATCGGGAGCGGAACATGGTTGCGTTTGCGGAGGAGGCGTTGAAGTTGGTGAGGGATGTGGTATTGGGGAAGGCGAGTCTGTAATTTGCCATCCAAACTTTGGAGCTGAGGTTGTGTCCGTTCTCTATCTAGATTGTTTACGGGCATACTCCTGCGGGGTACCTCTCTACTTCCAATGCGATTGTTGCAAGTGGCTGTTGTTGAGATGTACAGCTGTTCAATATTCGACTTACATGAATTATTTCATATTCTGTATGTTAGAGCTACAGCTACCTCTCTAGATGAAATTGATTTACCTTTGCTGTGGATGCAAAGCTATGACATCCTATTACGTATCGACACAGCCTCAATGACGCAGTGCACAGCCACACCAGATCAGATTATGTGATTTCCATTCGCGCACAAATGTGAATAATAATACATGGCACACTAGAGAGATATGGATAAATCAATTAGAAGATAGAATAAGACAAATTAAGAGATTTTCTGACAAGAAACTCTCTGACTGGCTGGGACTCAGTCAGCTGGCTCTGTTGGGCTTCTCCATGATTCTTCAGCGGCCGAGATTGGGAATCATCATTACGCGGTATATTTCTTCTCTTCATCCATTTCACTTACAGGTTATGAGTTTCATCTTTTTGATGAGATAAACTGGGAATATTAGGAATATTGCTGCATTCTAACTACATCTGCATCGAATCTTCCATCCGCTGATTCTCAGGCACCTTGCCGTTCCGATCAGGCGCCCGCCATATCCCACCTGCGCCTGTCATCCCCACCCTTCAAGTTCTATTTTTACTTTTATTCTTGCGCCGATAACCATCCAAGGATCACAAATTCGACATTGGTGTAATTGTCTCTCAGGAGATACGACATTGCGTCGGCGTCAAACGGCGCCATGGAGACTACGACGTTACGTCGCAAAGACACGACCAAGGGCCCTCCGTTGAGGGTTCTGTCGTTAGGTATGGAGCACACCATCCAAAAGATGTGGTTCAAAACTAACCGGAGCAGACGGAGGAGGCGTTCGAGGATACTCGATGCTCATAATTCTCCAGGAACTCATGTACCGCATCTACGTCGAGTGTGAAGGCAAACCCCCGCGCCGAGACCAGATCCCCAAACCCTGCGACCACTTCGACCTCATCGCTGGCACCGGCACGGGCGGCCTCATCGCCCTCATGCTGGGTCGGCTACGTCTCGACCTGGAAACCTGCAAAGAAGTCTACGTGCGCATGACGCGTCGCGTCTTCGAGACCGACAAGACCATCGCCGGCATCCCCTACCGCTCGACCTTGTTCAAGGCGTCCAAATTGGAGGAGGCGATCCGGGAATGTGTGCGGGAACATACGGTATTCGAGGCCGAGGGGAATGATCTGCCCAATGCCAGCTCGCGCAGCTCCGTCGCCAGCGCGCCCTATAGTCCCGCGGCGATCCCGCAGCGCTCCGTAAGTAGAGGCAGTTTCAGCACGTCTGGCGCTTCGCATCCCTCGACGCCGATCAGTCAGCGGCATTCCGCCATCATCAACGGGCTACGGTGGGGGAACCCAGATGCTCTGCTCTACGATAACAGGGAAAATCGGACAAAGACGTAAGTTGGAATCTATCTAAAAAAAACTACTGGAATTCGTACTGACCGGTCAGTGCCGTCACGGCGTTATACAAAGGCACTCCCCGAAACGGATCCGCAGTGTTGCTGCGATCGTACGACTCGCGCAAAGAGCCTCCTCCCGAATTCGACTGCACTATCTGGCAAGCCGGCCGCGCCACCTCGGCGACTGGTCTAGCGTTTAAGCCAATTCAAATCGGGCAACACCTCTTTATCGATGAGGGTGCAGGTACATATAATCCGGCGCCGCAGATATTGGATGAAGCGGCTGTCAACGAGTGGCCCGGGCGAGACGTCGGGGTGTTTATCAGCATAGGCACCGGCAAGCGTCCGCCGGGCACGAACAACCGGCAGCATGAGTGGTGGGAAGATTTCTTTGGGGATGCTCTCGGCACGTTTGCTGAGGCGCGACGACGACTGATCGCCAAGATCGAGGGTTGCGAGGAGATCCATCAGGAGATGCTTCGCACCCACCTAGCCAAGCGGGGAGTGAACAAGGACAACTACTACCGACTGAATGTCGAGGTTGGCGTGGGTGAGTTTGGCATGAACGAGTGGAACCGACTGGCCGACATCAGCACCAATACCCGACGCTACCTGTCCAAGCCAGAGGTAAAGAAAAGCATCATGGATGCCGGGGTCAAGTTCGCAAAGATCGAGCGCATGCACCGGCGCCTGGCTGCGCATGCGGCCGCTGGATATGATCCGTCCACAGAGCCAACCGAAGATATGGCATTCTCGCCTCAGAGCTACACTTCGCAAGGGCCAGTATTTTCCGTTCCGCCGCCCTCCAACCCCATGGCAGTGGAATTGCCCGCTGAGCTACCTGGCGACTTTGCACCGATTATGACACACCAGCCTCCATCGAGCGGCTTGCGGGTTACGTCCCCTCCACCCGAGGACTCGCTGCCATCACATCCGACCCCGCAGGATGGCGTCTATCCTTCGTCAGGACGGGTGTCCAGCGGTAGCTTCAGCTATACCCACAGTGACTCGAGCCGGCCCGGCTCGCAGCAACAAATGGCGTCGCCTCGGCGGAGCATGGACCAGGCGCAGGAGAGTAGCATGCCACCTCCAATACCGCCAAAGACGCCGATTCCTTATCCTGATAATGCGAACGAGACGCTGATGCCGATGCCCTTGGTGGTGCATCATGGTCGGAATGGGTCTACTGGGAAGGTCCGACCGCCTTATCCCGTTGACGAGCCTCCTCCAGCGGTCAACAAGCAACGGAAACCCAGTTATCATGTGCGATAGTTGATTACTTCATGTATAGGATGGCTTTGGCTTAAGGCGTTACACCGTTCTTTGTTTATTTTTGGGGATCGTTGCATTGGCCCATGGTTTATGATGTATTTACTAATGGTGGATACCCCAAGAGAAGACAACTAGTTAATGGATTGAATCTTATTGCATCTTCGTCATTTGTAATGATGGCTAAGGTAACTGAAGCGGATGGTGGATGTATAGTCCGTACCGTAGTTTATGCATTTCCAGTAACTATTTTTATCACACTAGATCCATGGTCCATAAATATCAGAGACAACCATGGATCATATCTAACCCTTTGATTAGGAACTGGACGATTCCCATCAGCTGTACCAAATTTTCCGAGACAGTGGGAGAGCGCCGTTGGTCGAGATGTACGTACTGGCCCAGCCACTTTTCTTTCGTTCGAGTCTCGCCCACTCATCACCCCCATTTCCATCAAGACTGTGCGAATTGGAACCTTTTTTCATCATGTTTCATTATTATCTGTCCTTTCTTGTGTCTTGAACTCTTTTTCTTTGATATTGTCATTCTTCTCCCTTGCATCTCTTCCTCGTGGCCTTACCTTAATCCTTATCGGCCCTCCCGACATTCCTGAAACCACGCGGCCCTCAGCCACCACCCAATCCTCCACTTTTGCTAGTCTGATTTTAATTAATTTGCCGCCAGGGCCTGTTCATGACCCTTGAGGCGCCTGATAACTGCCAGATTTCGCTGGTCTCGTGCTGAGATCAATCTCCAGTGGTTGAGGTTCAAGCATATTGCATTGATTCATGGCCTAACGTCAGACTCGTACGACTACGACTACGACGGCCTTCTTGTTCGACATATAGATATACACTCTACCGTTTTCTCTTGGATCGATAAGAACACTGCTGGCAGTGCTATGCCCTGAACGATTCCATGGAATTTTCCCACTCTCTCGTGGCCCATGCCACGACTCTCGCCGTCCGGTCCGGCAGTTCGAGTTCCACCAGCGACCGTCCTCCCGTATACAAAGCCGTGGGCATTGCGCTGGCCGTCACCTCGGGTGTCTTCATCGGGACCTCATTCGTGCTGAAGAAGACGGGTCTCCTCAAAGCGAACGTCAAGTACAATGAAGAAGCGGGCGAGGGGTACGGATACCTCAAGAACTTCTGGTGGTGGTCGGGGATGACCCTTATGATTCTCGGGGAGATATGCAATTTCGTTGCGTATGCGTTTGTCGATGCGATCCTGGTCACGCCGCTGGGGGCGCTCTCGGTCGTGATCACCACCATCCTCTCGGCGATTTTCTTGAAAGAGCGGCTCAGTTTCGTCGGTAAGGTCGGCTGTTTCTCCTGTATTATCGGATCGGTTGTGATTGCTCTCAACGCCCCCGAACAGTCGTCCGTCAGCGATATCCAGGATATGAAACATTATGTCATTGCGCCGGGGTTCCTGTCGTATTCGGGTGTCATCATCGTGGGCTGTGTTATCGTCGCGCTCTGGTTGGGGCCGCGGTACGGCAAGAAGTCCATGTTCGTCTACATTAGTATCTGCAGTTTGATCGGTGGGTTGAGCGTGGTGGCCACCCAGGGTCTTGGGGCGGCCATTCTGGCTCAGATCAATGGGAAATCACAGTTCAAGGAGTGGTTTCTCTACGTATTGCTTGTTTTTGTCGTTGGCACCTTATTGACGGAGATTATCTATCTCAATGTATGTTCTTCTGTCTGGTATTCAAGAAACTGTGCTAACCGCTGACCACCGCAGAAAGCGTTGAATCTCTTCAATGCCGCCCTAGTCACCCCAACCTACTACGTCTTCTTTACGAGTTCGACCATCGTCTCCTCCGCTATTTTGTTCCAAGGCTTCAAAGGCACCGGCATGCAGATCGCGACCGTCATCCTTGGATTCTTGCAAATCTGCGCGGGTGTCGTTCTGTTGCAGCTATCCAAGTCGGCCAAAGATGTGCCCGACGCGGCGGTCTTCAAAGGTGATTTGGATCAGATTCGAGAGGTGGCCGCGCAGGAAGAACCCGAGACCGAACCCAAGGCGGACTCGATCCGTGGTGCTGCGGCGATCATCCGGCGCATATCCACCGCACGCCGTCGCATGGAGGAGGAGGAAGCGCGGCGGTATCTCCGAGACAGGCAGGAAGATTACCTAAAGCCCCCGGCGGAGAACGAGATCATCGAATGGGACGGTCTGCGGCGTCGCAAGACCGTTCTGGGCGAGGGTCCGACCATGGCGCGGCCTCGCACGCCGGGCACTCATCCTCCTCATTCTCCATTGGCTATGTCAGAATCTCCAGACGACAACGATCCCGACCGCAGACCGAGTACCCGCCACAGCGACCGTTCTTTTCTGGATGATCTGCGATCGCGAGCCTCAAATATCATACACCCCGGGCAATGGCACCAAGTCTATAATCCACAGGACGGTCACGCGGATCCGGTCCATCTGACTGTTTCTCCCGTTCATGGGATCAAGAACTCGGACACGAGCTATCACGGAGCGGGAATGCGCGAAGTCTCCGGACAGACTGACACGTCGCGGTCTATTGCGTGGGCGGACGAGACACCGGACCGTGAAGCCTCGCCGCATTCGGCCAAACGGCAGTTTTCTTTCAACACAGTCTTCAACCGAATCAAGCCGAAGAGTGAGAATGAGCCGCCCAAGCCGCCACCTCATTCTCCTCGCAGCATTCTGCGGCGCAGCCACCTGGTTCCCGGTGCCGAGAGGCAAGCCATGAAAGGAGCCACCGAGGAGGAACGGCTGGGTCTGGTGACGGGGGATTCGCGAGTTCCTGGAGGGGAGGACTGGGATGCGCACGAGAAGCTGGAACGGGTCGACTCGTCGTCGAGCGAGTCGATCTCGGATGCCCCTGAGCCGTATGGCTCGTCGATGGTCTATGGCCACGGCACTTATGACTATGGCTACGCTGCTCAGACCTCACCGACCGAGATGCAAAGCGAATGGCAATTACCGTCCACCCGGTCTGTGACCGCAGATCCCGGCGACATGCAATCCTCGTCTCGAACCCGAGCGAATCCGCTGCCACCGTTGCCAGACGAGGCGCCCTTCATCGCCGGTGAGGACTCGCATACGCGAGTTGAGCTCCGGTCGCCCACAAGTCCCGGCGGGACGGACGGCCGAGGTTGGCGACGTCCTGTATCGGGGCACGGCGACAGCTCTTCCTCGACGAACCGGGGCGCATTTATCTAGTGACGTTTTGTATATTGGATGATATGTATGATATGATAATGACCATGACTAACGAATAGACATGACACTGCCTCGTCCGTTTCCACTGCCTTGTTTCTTTCACGGAGCCTTTTTCATAGAGGAACAAGATACATAGAAATGTCGTCCACGTTCTGTACTTCCAAATCAAGAACTTACCACCGAACAAAGGGAAGATAGCATTCCCGATAGACCTAATTGCACCACAGCCGAATAACCACTAAGGTTGATGCTATTGTATTACCCATTGGAAATAAACGTAGACTCGTATCGTCGTCATCGTTGCAATCAAAGCAGAACGCCGGGGTATAATGCAGCAAACCACCGCCACCCATCCCATCACGAAGCATACCAAACAATGCATAACGAAAATCACACCCGTTGAAACATCCCGAGAACACTCCTCTGCCCAGCAGGCGCCAAACTCATCGCAAACCGCCCCTCCGAAAGCCTCTTCCCCGCCTTGATACTCTCCAACGCCCTACACATCACTCATTAGCACCTGCACCTAACCTGTATACAAAGGAAGGGGAAGGGAAAATACCACTCAACCCCAACAACCTTGACACCCCTCCACCCGCCCCTGGCAATCTCCTTCTGCAGCTTCCCCGCCGCAAGCCCTCCCCCCGCACCAGCCCGCCCACCAGGCCCCGCATTCGGCTTCCCAATGATAACATGCGTGACGCTCCTCCTCGCCAGGGAGATGGCGACCTGCGCACCGTGCGAGACAAGAAGCGACTTGAGTCTATGGTCTGAGATATGAGGCATTGTCGAGCCGTTGATGTAGATGGTTGTTCCGGTGAGGATCTTCCTCTTCTCCCCACTTTCGTCTTCATCCTGTGGTTTGGATTCGGGTTTGGTTGCGGGTTCGGGCGGTATCTGACAGAGTATCTCGCTCTCCCTCTCCGTCTTCGCCTTTTTGCATTTACCTCCGTTCTGACCTTCATCGATAGTCGAAGCAGAAGCAGAAGCACGCTTCTTAGTCGTCCCCATCATCGTCCGGATATCCCTGCTTCCGAGCTGGTTGCGGTGCGCCTCCGCGGCGGAGAGCCATCTCCACTCCCCTCTCCCTTCACCTCCATTTCGGCTTCCGCTGTCGGTCTTGGTAGGGTTGTCTGCGAACTGGATGGCAAGCTTTGCGCGCCGAGTCTCGCGCCAGCTGGTGGTGTTGGAGTAGGGGTTCTCGGCACGCTGGTGGCCTGTTGCGGAGGAGTTCCACGGGTCGAGGAAATCGTGGTTTGTTGGGGTCGGGGGAGGCATTTTCCCTTAGCTTATACGTAGGTAGGTGTAAATGCTGTAGGAATACGGAGGTGCAGGTAAGAAAAGTCAGAGGAGCAGTGAACCTTGGTTCAGATGTTGATGTTTTCCTGCATTGGGTTAGCGTCTATGCCTACAACAAGGGATGGCAATAGCAGAAGGTATGGTCTATCTGCTGCACCACTGCTGCTACTGATGCTACTGATAAGGTATGGTCTACATGAACTGCTGTATCATAACCCAATCAATTTTGTCCATATCCCTACATGCGATGAATGGAGAGTGGACCATATAAGAGAAAAGAAGACTCGTCCAAGGAAATTCGTGTCATCATGGTCGTCAATACGCAGTATATCCTTTCAGAAAACAACCGCACATTCCACAATATGACCCAAAGGCACCATAACGCTGATCATCCGGAGTATGAAATCAATGCAGAGGCCGTCGGTGGCCGACGCTGCAACCATTAATGACCCAAACAAAGGAATCCTAACAAGGACCCCAGTAAAACTCGCAGAGAGGAAAAAAAGAAAAGAAACAAACGCAAGGTCTACTGAAGACCGCACAGGCTGTCATCCCACGCGCCGATGGGATGAGGGACCCGTCCCCTTTCTAACCTTCTTTACCCTGAACAACCAGATAAACGAATGCAAAGTCGGAAACCAAACTACAAGTTCGGCTGTCTATGGCATATCATCGACGGCGAGGTATGGCTCCTCCGGCTTTCATCGGCTGTAGTCCCATCAGAACTCCGCCAACCGGTCCGCCAACTGTCGTTTCATTGGTCCGTCGGCGCTTGCTTTCGTACTCTCCCTGGCTATCCGGCCGGCCCATGCGATCCAGGTCGTCGTCTTCCCGTCCCCGCTTGCCAGATCCCATCGATCCACTCATGGAGTATGTCGGCGCGGAGTTGGAGGCCACAGTGTAGTTGTCTGAGCCAGCTCCGTTCGATGACCCGCGGGTGTCGCTGACAATATTATACAAACTACTGGCAGCGGTCGGTCGAGGAGACGCGTAGCCGGACGCCCACTGTGGAGGAGGTCCACCACTTGTCCGCGGAGTCATACGTCCAGACCCGTTCTGCTGCGGAGAGCCGGTGATGTCGGTTGTCAGCTGCGAGTGCTCGCCCGCGAGACTACCAACAGATGTGTTGGTGGTATAGGTGTAGGAACTCCGAGGGGCGCCGTAGCCCGTATTGTCATGCTGCACATAGTCCGACTCGTGCTCAGGGCCAGACTCACCCGCCCCAGGAGCAACGTGTCCATTGCTCTGTGAGTACCGGTCCGCGGGCTTAACATCAGAAGTTTCAGTCTCCGACTGTCCTCCCGGGGCCCGTCCCGCAGGTGGTGCCATTTCATTCTTGATGTAAGAATGAGGCGGCATCGTCTGGCCATACTGTGACAGGGAATGCTGTGGAGCGTAGTGCGGGTGTGAAGAAGGAGCAGTCGAGTAGTACGGTTTCGAAGTGTCATACCCAGATTGACTCTGGTACGATTGCATGCCTTGCAGACTGTTGCCGGGAGGCGTCGTCGCTGGGGTCGTGGGCATCGACCGTGTATTGCTCAAAGTGGTATCGATTGACAGTGGCTGAGTATTTGGTACGCCAGAGTTCATGCCTTGGTTATTCCAGTCATACGAGCTACTCTGGTTTGAAAGGCCCATGAGACTCGAGGCGCTGGCGGGTGGAGTGGGAAACGTATGTGCTCGGTCGAGCGGAGGACGAGCACCAGGCTGCGAGGACATCGTAGGTGGCTGAGGCATTTGGGAAGGAATGGAGGTCTGCATGGAGTGATGGTGGTGCAGAGCTGGCGGCTGAGGGGCTTGGGGGGTTCGCCCGGATGGTGGGCCCTCCAGTCGCCGTTGTTGTGATTCCTGTACGACCATATTCGTCCGAGTCTGGTTTGTCGGATGGTACAGCAATCCACCGATATTGTGCACGAACAGGGGGTAGAGTAAATCAGTGATCTTTTCCTTGTTGGCAAACTCCAGAGCGCGTTCGAACGGGATCCTGCATTCAATTAGCATTTCCCTTGACCAATGTTTCATAAATAAGACATACCACACTCCCTTCAGGTGCATAGGGCCAATCTTCACAACATGGCGGACCTTCTCGCTCTTGAGGATGCCGTCCCGACGACCTCTAGTCATGCCAGCCACGTTGAGCAGCTTCGTACCGTTGATCATGTGGTTGTCTATTTATTGTTAATAAGATTATCCGTCCGTCCGTGTCGATTCAGAGATGCTTACCTTCTCTGCGCGCAACACAGACTCCCTTAGCTTCTACCTGATAACAGAGGCTCCCTTCGTCTTCCCACAAGGTGGCAGTGACTCGCGGCTTGGCACCTGGGGGCGCCAACTGTCCAGTGGTATCATAAACGAACCCTTGCATCGGTGTTCCAGTGGTGTTGCCATAACCAGGAGCTGTTACTGTGTGGCTGTTGACTGCTAGAGGAATTTAGTACACCAAAGCATAGAGACAAAAATGCCCAGAAAGCTTACCAGGCAAAGGCAGCAACTGAGCAGGGACCTGGCTGCTCATCGATGTTGATGGCGGGGGTGGCGCGGGCTGGGTCGAGGCAACACCGCTAGGATAGGCATATTGCGAGTAAGAGCTGGCAGGACCGTAGGTCGAGGCTGGCTGCAGGACAGGCGGTTGCTGGTGATATTGCGGATAGTGGGCCATTGCTCCTGCCGTCGGCGCTTGAGAAGCGTACGGCTGTGCGGATGAAAGATGCGACGAATGCACGTCCATGTAGGATTGCGTTTGGTTCATGCTGCCCAGAGGGGTCGGATTCGGGTAATAGCTGTCGCTCACCGGATTCTGCGCAACGGTGTAATCCTGCGAGGCGGAAGATTCCAGGGAGAGACGGCCGTGTCCACCAGCCACAAGGTCAACAGACGGCGGAGTTCTGGCCTCGCTGATGGTCGGTGCGGTCCCGGACGATAGGCTTGTCCGAGCGCTTGAGCTGGTCGAACCCGGAGCCGACTCTTCGTAGCTAGCCCTGTAGGACTGGCCCGAGACGATCGGCTGCGAGGCCGTGGGAAGGCTGAGTGCCGGAAGTTTGTCACCAGACAACAGTGGTCGTTCCGCGGCGTGGTGGTTGTACCAAGGGATATCAACAGGACCTCTTGTGTGGACCTGGGAGATCGACGGTAGCTCCAGCTTTTCGGTTTGACGGGTAACGGTTTGAAAGTGTAGTGGCAAAGGAGCACTGGGAACGTCGAACTATAAGCGTCCGGCGTACCGTATATGAATTTTTCTTCCTGCGTGTATATTTCTGTTGTTTTGTTTTGTTGTAGAGGTCACGGATATCAGATTCGATCTCCGCGTTGAGAAGTCCGTCGTTTTCGTAAGAAACAAATGAAAAAGCCGATTCTCACGACAAGGTCTCGTGAGATTCAAAACGCGTGCTCAGGAAGCGGTGCAGGCAATGCAATGATCAATCGTGGAAGGTCGTCGAACGTCGTAAGCGTGAAATGTTTCAAGACCGTCGCTGGACAGAGAGAATCGCTATGCAGTGTGTACTGACAGAAATCTACATCCACAAACTTTTCTTCGACAAAAGGTGAATAGGGTTTTTTGGGATCGACACGAACAAGACAGCACGGGGAAGCGAGACGTAAAACGGATCGCAGATTGGTCCACAAAACTCGCTCAACCAGATCAGAAGCAGGCAATCATGGGTCTCATTCAAATCGTAAAGAATATAGGGATGTGTGAGGCGCGACGCGAAGTTCCAGCATCGAACGTCGAAACAGTGCTTCTCATAAACCCACAATGTTGTGTGCCGACTCGGGTATACGGTGTCTATCAGGTGGAAAGTTCGTGATAGCTCGTTGCAGGTCAGATACCGCTTGACGGATCGACAGTGGAGTCAGAGCAGTCTAAGGGTAATCGCAGAAGTAGAGTAAGCAAAGCATTCAGGTCATTAACTTGGTCATGCAGGAAGAGAAAATATAAAGCATGGAAGCAGAGTGGTTGAGTTGAGAAGATCAAGGCGGGATCCTGTAGGTATGTATAAGAGCCATCAAACGGAAGGGATGACACGGTGACGACGCGGCAAAGGGAGACTGGTGCAGGATAAAATCAAAATAAGAAAAAGGGAAAAAGCAAAAAGTAAAAAAGAGGAAAAAACACTATATTTCCGGCGGCAAATATAAGAGGAAAAGAGAGAAATCGAAGATCAAACTCTCAGAGGGAGGGCCCAGATCGGGAAGATCAAACCAGAATGGAAGTGGAAGACGAGGCTCGAAGGCGGTGGGAGGCAAAGAATGATTGATTGCATTTGCATAGGACATAGGATATAGGACCCATAGAAAAGAGAGGTCAGGCAGACGGGGAGATCATGTACGGAAAAGTGGAGGCTGGGGGAGTGATAGTCCCAGTTTGGTACGTAGAATAATAGGTAATAATAATGGAGATGGTGTAGACTGGGACTGGTACTGGTAGTACAGCAAACGCAGGACAAGACTGGACTGGACCTCTTGAGGCTAAGCCTAATAGGTCGCAGCAGCTGTGAGACAGGTCGGCTGGAGTGCGGAAAAAAGTGGAAGAGAAGGGTTGGTTAGGAAAGGAAAAGGAAGGGGAAAAATAAAAATAAAATGGGAAAAAGAAAAAAAAATAAAAAAGAAAGGAAGAATAAAAGTGACTGTAGGGCTATGCGTACCAACTTTTCGCTCTCACTCTCTCTTTTTTTTGGGCTTCCCTTCTGATTTAGGTTATTCTCTTGTCTTGCCTTGGAGGTTCAGTGTCCTAAGGTAATATTGTATGCATGCGCAGGTGGTGTATGGAATGTATGCATGCATGTACGGTACAGAGCTGGGCAGGGAACCTTAGATCAAAGGTAAGCTCTCACCCATGGAAAGAGAATCATCAATCATGAATCAGTGGATGGGCCGAGCGGAGGGGAAGGTTGGTAGCGAGGATTGTGTAAACTTGGGTTGGGGAGGGGAAGAAAGGGCGAAGAGAGGGGGCGGCAGCCGCTGAGCTTCCGCGTTTTAGT